CACACACCCTGGTCTCCTTAGCAAAAAAACAACCGCTCTGTTGTCAGCTGCAGTTATGTGACGCGAACACTATCGGGACGGTCACAGGCCGCGCGTGTCGCTCTGTCTGCCCGCCACTACCAGAGGACGCCAGACGACCGTTTCCCGCGCTCTCCCATTCAGCCCCGGATACAACAACACATTCCCGCCACAAGGGGAAGTCATTTCACGGGGGATAACTCTGCATAACGACTTCGCTTTGCCCGGTTCCTGATGGAGAGTTATTGTTCTGGGATTACTTTGATGGTCATTACACGCTGCCATTTTCCAGACACAAGTGTTAGATATTGCTGGACCTAATAAAGCGGGAAGCTACACGTGCATACTACGGTCTGCTAAGAGATAGTTTAGTTTTACATCTCTGCTTAGTTATAATTTAGGTTCAGTTAAAAACTATCAGATTAATTTTCAGGGTAGGTTGACTTAATGCTAATCTATAGTTAAATTGCGTTGTCTGCCCAGGTTCAGCTTAGTTTAGTTGTTTGAATACTCGTAATTTCAATTATCTGTCTACTTGGTACTAATCGAATTCAGTAGTCAGCTTTGTTTTTGCTTACTTAAAAAAACAACAACTTGTTTTCTTCGTTTTAGTTGAATTTAGATGTCTGCTCGCGCATGACAATCCTTACCACAAAAGAGGAAATAATGATCTTGTTTTAGGTGAACAGTATTGTCAGGAATTATCCACACAAGTTATGACAAAATGAAAGAAGAATTACCCCAAACTGCTTGTAACCAATTAATGTTTTAGAACTACATGTAAATATATTTTTTTTAATCTAAAAAAGGCTACTCAGATTAATGAAGAGAAATAATTTTGCTCAGACAAATAGATTATGAGGCTAAACGTTTGGGATAGTATCCATAAGACGGGTACCTCTGGAATTTTAGAATTTGCTGAATTTGTGCGACTTTTTTTCATTCTAAGTTAAGGTCAAGCCTCGAAAATCGATCTCTTTGGATATTTTCCCTTTTCCATTAAGCTTACTTGGGGTGTCGCATACGGGATCTGTCTTCCACAGGAAGTAGTACTCCAGGGGCAGACACGTTTTGTTCCAATACAGAATAGGCTCAGATAAATTGTACAACACGTTTTACGTGTTTTGGGATTTAGCTAGTTACCTTTATTTAGGACTGTTCGGATTGGTTGCAACAAGGACTTATTACTCTTTCATGGATGTGTGCTTCTAAAATTGAGGAACTCACAGAAACAATAAGGTACAATATTATATTCAACTGATTAGATCTATCTATCTGTCTATCTATCTATCTATCTATCTATCTATCTATCTATCTATCTATCTATCTATCT